GACCTTATTCACTGAGGAATTGGGTCTGTAGAAGAACCTTCTTCTTAGGAAGAACCTTACAAAGTGAATAATGAAAGTTCCCACACTAAATAATAATAAAAAAAACCAAGAGCAGAATAAGGCCTGCTGGTTGTTCATCACATTAAGGACAGTTATGACGGTAGACCTGGAGGTGAAGGTAGACAACACAGGGTCAGGCCGTGCAGGGAGGGAGCAGGCTGAAGGCTGCTGCCAGGACTTTTTTTGAGGCACTCAAATACGAGTGATGGCAGCTGCCCTGAAGGACTTGGGTAGAAATTTAGATCTAATCGAGTGCAAAAAACTGAGCAAAAAGCACCAAGAAGGTGGAGCGGGAGCGGGGTCATTTCCCCAAGGGCTGCAAGGGGCTGAAGGAAGGGGCAGGTTTCTCCCCAGCAAGAAGCAGCAGGAGCCGGGGTTCCTGCACCAGAACTCCACAACCCGCATCCCAGGAAAGGGGGTTCTCTGTGCAGGAGTGGGGGGCTCCACAGATCTCAGGCAAAAACCCCATTTCCTCGCAAATGGCCTGGTTTCCTGTGAGGGGGTTGGAGGGGCTGCCATGTCAAGGTGGGGTCAATTTGTGACTGGGGATGGAAATCTTCCACGGAGGGGAAGGACACGAGGGAGCTGCATCTGTGGGGAGCCAGGGGTGTGGGGCGGAAGCAAGGTCCCCCCTCCTCATTCCACAGCCAGCCCCACAAACCCTCAGGAAAGCCCGCTGGCCACTGTCAGGCTATGGGCAGGTTTCCAGGGGAGAGTCTCCTCGCTTCTATTTGCTGGGACCGAGGAGACGGGTGGAATTTAAGAGGGGTGGTGGGGTCTTTTCCCTGTCCCCCCCCCAGCCCTGGGGGACAGCGAGGAGCCGGACAGGCCACACGATGCGCTCCCATCCCCAAGGCATGGCTCCCACCCCCGGCGTGGTGGTGGGTTGGTCACCAGCCCCTACCCTTAATGAGATTCTTTGAAACCCACCCCCACCTCAAAAAAAAAAAAAAAAAAAAAAAAAAAAAAAAAAACAAATTTTAATTTTCCCAAAAACGAAATTTGAAACCCCCCCCCACCTAAAAAAAAAAAAAAAGAAAAAAAAAAAATAAATAAAGCTAATTTTAATGTTCCATCCCTGTTTTCTGGCGACGTCGCTTGTCAAACAATCGGCGGCGGAGCCCCCCTGAAAGGAGGGAAGCATCGCACCCTCCTGGCTGAATGCCCTTCTTAGTGCACATAACGCCCAGGGCCTTTTGATGTCACACAATGCCTGTTACGCCCCAAGATTGTCTCTTTGGACAGATCTACAGCGCTCGGCTTCATGTTTGGAAGTTTTAAATGGACAGCGAGGTTGTTGAAACTCCCACGCTTTAAGGGCGAAGCGCAGGAAATTCGGGACGTTGGCCCCGTTGCTTTCCAGGGGTGGAGGGAAGGGGCTGCTGGTTTAATCCGTCCTCCCAGGCAAAAGAAGAAGGGGGGGTTGGTTTGAAAGCAGCCCAGCCAAAACTTTTCCTCTCTTTTCTTTTTTTCTACTTTCTTTGGCAGCCTTAAAATAAGAGCTATGCGTGCAAAAGCGTGCGCCCTGCCTAGGTGGCTTGTGTTCTCGGGGGCGCTGGCAATGTTGCTGCTCCATGAAATCAAAATTTATGATTATTCAAATGTTGGGGACTGTGAAAAGAGAGGAAGAAAGAGAGAAAATTAATATTGCAGCTGTTCTTCTGATTAATGAGAGATAATTGCTCATGAAAAGTCACCCCTGTGGCATTTTGTTGTCTCCTGGATCTTTGTTCTTTTCCACTATTATTGAGGACTTTCTTGAAGACTAAGCGGTTCTTTTCAATTTTTGGTATTCAGAAAGTGTTGCTTGGTTACAGATAATGGAGAAATCTCGGGCTATATTGGGTAAGATGTGCCACAGACAGCAATATCACAATGCCACTTTCAGAAAAGGATGGATACAAGTTAACGATGCGCTTTCAATAAAACATTAATAGACTTGTTCACGCTTTTATAATGACCCCCTTAATGGGAGCTGGGGGCAAGTCCTGTCTTTTGCTCGCCTTCACAAAAAAAAAACCCCTCCTTCGAGATCGCCGATCGCTTTGGAAACTAATAGGAAATCAATGTTAGATGAGCGAATAAATGCGATTACAGCGCAGGAGCCCCTCGCTTACCCACGCAGGGCTTTATTTTGAGGGGGGGGACACGCACACACACTTTCCCTCCTGGGGACTGACCCATCCCGGTGCCCATCCCCACCGCATCTCACCCCGCCGGGATGCTTGCGACCACGACCGCTCTGCAGAGGGTGTTTTGGTGGGTTTTTTGGGGGGGTTGGTGTTTTATTTTTTTTTTTTTTTGCCGGTCGATGCGTGTCCCCAGGCTGGGGGGTGCTTTCCACGGGGGAAGGGGGGGAGCATCTCCTCCCGTGAACCCGGCGGAGATGCTTTCTGCGGGCGGGCACGAAGGGCTTTTTCTTCTGCCGGGAGTCTGCGGGGGTTGGGGGGAGGGAAGGGAAAGGGGGGAAAGGGGTTGCTTTTGTCGTTTAAGCCGTGAATCTCTTCTACATAAAGGTGTTAGAGACATCTGGAAGAAAAGAGGGACCAGCACCCAGTCCTGCGCTCCGGCGGACCAGGGGAGCGGCTCTGATGTTCTTTTTGAACTGCTCCACTTTCAAAAGGGGGGCAATTTCGTTACATTCTCATTTGTTACACTGTCTTGAGCTAAAGGCAGACAAAGCTATACTCTGTCACCCCGAGCAGAATGAAGGGAATCAAAGGATTTTCCCTTAAAAGGACTAATTTTCTCCTTGAATTATGAAAGTAATGGCTAGGTAACAGCCTGTGCTCTGTACCCAACTGCTTAATACCTTCTAAATCCTTCCACGTGGCTCTCCCAGTCGTAGCAATTAGAGCTCATTATAGGCTCATAAGAGCTCTCATTTCGGGGATTACTTAATGGACAATGAAATTTTATCGGACAGAATTATTGAAAAATAAAATTGTAACGAGGCCGATGTGATGTGGGCGCACGCCTTACATCATTCCGCCTGGTTTGGGATATCTTTGCTTTCAAATGACTTCTTTTCTTCCTCCGGCTTTCAGGGGGTGGGTTGTGCTTTGTGGTTTTTATTTTTTTTTTCTCCCTCCTCTCTTTTATCACCGCACTTGGTTTATTATAACGATTACAAATTGCAATTTTGATCCGACTCTCGCTCTGTCTGCCTTCCCTTACGACAGCCCCCTCCCCAGATCCACCCTATCGCTGCAGACAGGTTTTGGGTTTTTTTCCACTGAAATCGATGATGGGGTTGGTTTTATTATTATCGTTTTTCAGAAAAGCCTCTCGTATAGGAAAAAAAAAATCAAAAGAAAGAAAAAACAGAGATGAATTCAAACCTCCGCCGGATGAACTGTGTTTTAAACGGGGAGAACGAAGCAAAATCCCACTCCTTGGACACCGTGACCGTGATTGAAGTCTGACCGGCCCCACCGGAGCTCAGGAGTGTCGTCCTCCCCGGGGGTGGGGGGACACCGTCGCATCCCGGGGCCCGCGATCCCCGGCGACGGGGCGGACAGCGCTCCTGGCCCCCGGGGCTCCGGGGCCTCGGCTGAGCCCTCGGCAGCGGTTTTTTTGGGGAAAAAAAAAAAAAAAAAGTAGGTGAGGTGGGAGCCGACCCGCCTAAACCCCGCGAGTCCCTAATTGTTGTCACAAGACGCGGGATTAGCGCATTGCTGGAATAGCTGTCTGTTTACACTCCGGAGCCCCGCCGGCCGGTAAACACTTTCTAATTGAATTCTAATCACATTCAAATAGCTCCATAACCAGCCTCAGCTGCAATTCATAAAACTTTAATTGCCATCCATAAATCCTCAGATCGCCGAGCGTCCCTAAAAACACCGGTGAAGGGTGGCCGTCGGGGAGATAGCGGGGCTGGGGACAGGCGAGCAGGGCTGGGGTCGTGCCGGCCCCCGCTCGGGGAGCAGGGAGGGGGGGACAGGTTGGGGACTAGGACGGGACAGCAGGGCGACACCCGGCCCCTCTCTTAACAAGGCTGGAGTTGCACCGTCGAGCCTCGCTGGTCCCGGGGGCGAGGAAATGCCCTCTCCATCAGAAGACGGGCAGCAATTTCATTTTCCTGGGTTTTAGTAGCAGGAGGGTGGGTGTGTGTGTGTAGGGGTCGGTAGGATGCCCCCATCCCGGCCTGGCCCGGCGATAACCGGCTCCAAAGACGTTAAAGCTATTGCTTCACCCCCTTTCCCCCCCTCAGCCCCCGGGGATCAGGCGGAGTCTGTGTTTTCTGCTTTAGAGCACAATCGTCGCTTCCCTTTCCCCACTCAAACGGGATGGGATCCGTCCCCAGTTTTAAACGCCGCTTCGCATCTGCCCAAGGAGCAGGAGATCGCCCTTCCCTCAAACGCTAAGTCTCTTCTTAAACTCCCATAAAACAGGTCACTGGAAAATCGCGTAATATGCTGCGAAAACCTTGGCTTTTTTAACGCAATCTGAAATGCTCCGGAGCCACCGACCGTATTTAGCTGTTTATCCAATTTTACTTTTGAATGATTGCTTCAGCAAACTTGGTGGAGATCAAAGAATCCCCCCCTCCCACCCCCGCCCCGTTCGCCTTTCATTAGCGCCGGGCGCTGCCGCCCCGAACCGGGCGGGGAAGTTGGCTTGGAAGTTTGCCGTTTCTGATACCTTTTGGCTGAGAAGCGTCCAGATATTTGAAGGCTTTGTCCGTTTGGAGTAACTGCCAATTTGGCAACATTCTCTGAGGGTAAAAAGGGCGAAGGGGAAAAAAAAAAATATATATATATAGATCAACCCCAACCCACCTGACATCCCGATGTGCGCACACGCGCGATCCCTAACTTTCTATCTGTGTCTCTGTCTGTGACCCTGCTGTGGAAAGGGCCTCCTGAAGGAGTCCTGGACCCGGCCCGTGGAAAGGTGCTGGCCCCACGCCCCCCCTGGGGGTCACGGCCCCGTGAGTGATGCTTCACTCGGGGGAAACGGAGGGGCCGGAGTCGACCCTCTTGTTTCAGCGCATCACCTGCTCCCCTCTCCCCTTCCCTCCCTGCGGGGAAAGGAGCGAGCTTTTCGGGGAAAACCCCCCCGAGGAGAAACTCCCTCCCATTGATTTTAAACACCCCCCCCCCCGGGGTGTGTTGACAGGGGGATGTGCCTGCACAGCCCGGGGCAGGCTCCCCCTCCCCGGCTTCCCCGCTCCTATAATTTATCTGGGGCGGAGGCGAAGAGCTGAAGTCATCGGGCAGCGAGCGAACACGCATATTTTGGGGGGGCACCCCCCCCCCCGCGCCGCCGCCGCCTTGGGGCACCCGGGGCATCACCCCCCTGCCTGCGCCGCCACCGCCTACACCGTCAGCGACCACCGGAGGTTTCACTGCCTCGGCATGGGTAGGAGCCGGGGAAGGGGGGGCAGGGGGTGATGGGGGTCCCCCCGAGGGTGTCCCGGGGCGGAAAGTTGCGGGACAATCTCTTTTCTTTCTCTATTTCCCCCCCCTCCCCTTTTCCTTTCCCCCCGTCCCACTGAAGTTCTTGCTTCTCTCCCATCCAGGAGGGTCGGATTCCAGCCAAATTCAAAACGGGAAAAGGATGAGGACGGCTTTCACCAGCACCCAGCTCTTGGAGCTGGAGAGGGAATTCTCTTCCAACATGTACCTGTCCCGGCTGCGGAGGATCGAGATAGCCACCTACCTCAACCTCTCCGAGAAGCAAGTGAAAATCTGGTTCCAAAACAGGCGGGTGAAACACAAGAAAGAAGGCAAAGGCGCCCAGCGAAACTCGCACGGGGGCTGCAAGTGCAGCACCAGCCAGGGGCATTACCCCAGGTCGGAGGATGAGGAGTCTCTGTCCCCTTCATCGGCTACCGAGGATAAGGAGATCTCCCCGTTATAAGCCCGGCCCGGAGCACCGGGGCCCGGCCGGGAGCGGGGTTTTGGGGGGGTGAGGGGGTGTGGGGTGTGTGGGGCGGCTCACCTGGCACGGCTGCCCCCGGGGAGAGCAGCCCCGCCGACCGGGGAACGGGCTGGCTCTCGCCGGGCGGGAGGGTCATTTCCATCCCTTCGCAGTC